AGAGCTCCCAGCCAAAGAAGAGGACGCTGTTCCTCTTCACTCATTGTGAAAGAACTCCAATGGTCATTTGGACTTTAAATTTTACCCATGCATTATCTTTCCCTTGTCCTGTAGGTAACTTTCTCAGTTTCATGGAAGGGCCCCAGAGCCCATGGTCTTTCTGCTATGTCTGCCTGTAGTTTATAAAAAGCTATGAACAAAAGTTAAATATCAGCAGCAAGAGATGCAGGTGAAAGTCAGGATTCTCAAAGTGGGAAGGATGTTCTCATAACACTTCAGTGTGACAGAACTCAGAAAGATGAATTCTTGGCAGGTTTTCTTTTCTCCAGAAGTGACTGGAGGGCACTTCAGACCTGGGACATAAGTCAGGTGGGCTTCTGGTGTGTTTCACACACAAAACTGTGGCAGAAATGTTTGAAAACTTTAGGATGAGCCAGATGGCTTTAGAAAGTACCTGGGGTCATGAACTGATACATTTTCAAGCTTCCCAAAGATACAACAGAGGTAAGCTTTTGGTGGAGAATAAACAAGGGAGAGACAGAGGGCAAATTTCCCTCCAGATCCGTAAGTCTAGCATTCTGATAACTTTAAGTGAAATAGCCTTACCTATAAAGAAAAACAATTATAGCTCAGTAAAATACTTTGAATTGTTATCTCTGGTCTAACACTGCATATAAAACAAAAGCAAATCTGAGAGAAAAAGATGTTGTGAATTATACTCATACTTCACACCTTGTGCAGTTCTAAGACATGACCCCTCTCCTTCCACGGAAGCTGAGGCATCACATATAAGAGGTCAGCTGAATCCCCTATAGCAATTGGCTATGACACAGAATCAGACAACTGTAATCATATGAGAACATTTCCATTGACATGAATCTTAGTTAGCATAGAATTTCCAGAAATAATTTCACCTAGCTTGCAAGTGCTTAGCATTCACAAAAGCAGGCCCCAGAGGCTAAGGAAGGATACCAGCCACATCAATGGCCCTTTTTGGAGCAGCATCCACTTCTCACTGGTAAAACTTTCTTTCTCTCCTTTATACTGTATATTCTTTCTGGAAAAATCAAATTAATCTATCTGGAAAGGCATGTACAACACCACCAAATCTAATGAAGCAAGAAGGCACATAGTTCCTATAATGTCTGATTTACTTTAAAAACAGCTACCTTTGTTCCATGATTTGATTACTCTGCCAAATATATTATGGGCTTCCCTAAAAATACTAAAAGTTGGACGCTTCCTGCCTAATTGGAAATGAAACATTTTCCATGCATTGACTTGTTATTAAGATGAGAGGAAATATGAAGAAAAACAAACATAATCTGTGACCCAGGGAAAAGGAAAACTTAATGTACAAGCTGTACATAAACAGATTGAGTGTTGGCATTGTGCAGAACTAAGACATAAAGCAGAAAACTAAGAGCATTTGAGCAAAGAAAATTAGAATACTGAGTCAAAACCCACCTCTAATCTAGTATTTATGCCTGTCCTTGAAGATTATATGTCTCAAACTTCATGTTTTATCAGTTTGATAAAAGCAGGATGTAACTGTATGCAACTTCTTTGAACTTAAAGTTCACACAAATGGGAGATCTCCCATTGCCTCCTTTCTCCATACTTTAATCATTAAAATGTACTTTCTGCTCTACTCCCTTGACAAGCTTTATTTGAAGATAGTACGAGCTTTTGCCAACTTAACATTGTGGCTTTCTGTAATGACATCTCCTGTCTTTTTAGTAGTAAAATGCAAAATCGTCTTCCAAAAAGGTCCTGTCCCTCAAAATGTCCAACACCATTGTTTGCTGCCTCATACCTACAGTGTTTTGTGTGCAAGCACTGTGTATGCAGGAACACAGAGTGCTGGATTTGGAGTTCACATCAATGTCTTTTGAAGTTCGTATCATTAATGTCACATCCACCACTGCCGTGATATTCACGTGTCTGATGCCACACATAGAGAAGAAGGGAAGAGCACACCCTAGAAAATGAGACCATAGAATCTCAGATATTGACAAAGTTGAAAATTGTCAGGTGATTAGCCACCGCTGGGCTCAGTTCTGTCACAGATAGCTTAAATCTGGCTTGGTTGTCTACCTAATGCTGCAGGGCAGGGATGCTCGATGGAATCTCTCTGCCTTTCACAACAGGTCTGCTAATAATTATTTTTAAGGTCTCACAGTTGGAAAGCCTGTAGAATCTAACAAGTGTCTCCTCTGGTTAATGTTGAGTGGCCTGGTGCCACAAGGTAAATGCTACCTTCCTTTAATGACTATCAAGAAAAGGGAATCTGCAGCACTATAGGTGAGTGCCTTTGATACAGCAGCACAGCTCCTGCTCATGTAATCACTTTTCCCTCAATTTAAGGTTAGGTACTGCCAATGCTAATTTAAGGAAAGGTACATGAGAAAAGGAATCCGTGCAGAGCTGGGGGAATACAGTTCCCACTGTTACTATCACAACCTTCTCACAAAGGCTTTCCAGAAACTGTTCACACTGTCTATATTTATTACCAACTGCAATGAAGCTAATAGCTTGCATTAGGGTCATTTTGATGGTGGGTGGAAGGCCTAAAATCTGTGATATTCAGGCTGCAGTACCTGCTGGAACAGCTTTTTCACACTCTGTGCCTAATTCTTTTTTGCAATTAAACTTCACTTTACCACAGTAATGGGCCTTCAACTGGGAATACAGCAATTCATACCTCTTTGCACAGTGCAATGTGAAAGAAGATTAGTGTGAGCAGGAATCTGCTCATGTATGCCCTAACTAAAAACATCTGAAAAAGCAAGCAGACAACTCTTAAAACAAGTGGTTATTTGCTGTTCTCTGCCTAATCTGTGAGTGCTTTTTTTTTTTTCACTGAAGAGCAGAAAAGGATGATGTCAGTGGGTTATATCCCTATTTTTCGTTTATTTTTAGAAATGGACCAACAAATAACCATGACCTAAATTCTACAAGACAGAAGTGCATGCAAGCACATTGTTGAATATCAGAGTCTATTGAGTTCAGACAATTTCAGCAGAACTGTACACATACATCTTCTTTAAAAAACTAATTCACCGATATAGTGAAAATGAACAGTAAGGTCTAATATTTAAGACAGATAGTGAAGTCAACCTTTTAACTTCTTTGTCTTCATACAGGGATGATGTGGATATAGCATTAAAATTCAGACATAAATCTGTCAAAGGCAAAAAAGATAACAGCACTTTTAAGTGAGCATCAGTTTTATATTGTCATTAAAGTGAGGCTGGAATCTGGATGGAACAAGCTTCAAACTGGGCATGTGCAGCCCCTGCCGTCTCCTGTATTTAAATGGAAGCTGCTGCTGCTGCCTTTGCTAAGCTGAAGATGGAGTGAAGCAACCTGAAGCTCTAGTGAGAAACTCTGCACTGGATCTCACGTTATTCCAGAGAACCTAACAATCTGCTTTACACACACACAAAGAGGTAAACTGGCTGACTTTAGAGGAGAGCTTTTCTTTCTTTGTTTTTGCTCAGATTTTGTTCACCTGAACAATCAGCCTATTCAAAGGGGGATCTCCTGTCCCTCTGAGGATCTCAACAGCACAAAAATTGAGGAGTCCTTCAGTGCATGGAATGAGTTGGAAGCCAATGCCTACACTCTGATGGACCTGCCTCTTAGAGCCCCAACAGTAAGTGTTTTCTGTCACTAAAACTGTAGCAAGTAGTTCCATTGGCAAAGATGGCATTTATAGAACTGTAAATGGACATTTGAGGTGCATGTACACATTTAATGCTGTAATGCAATAATGAACAGCATAATGAAAACTTTAAAATCTTCTTTTTATTTCTTTAACTATTTATTTACAGCAGAAAAGACTGTAGAAGCAGTGTTTTTCAGCAGAGTTATATGGGCAGAAGACAGGGAGGAATGTCTAATAGCAAACTACATCAAATATGTTGCAAACTATCAAAACAGCATATTCTTGTGCATTAAACAGCTGTTGAGCAGTTCAACCACAACGCTTTTGTTTTATTCAAGACGGAAATCCCTGTCATTTCTGTACTAGTCTTTAAGTGCAGTGGCAGTGCTTATGTAAATGTTAGAGTTGTTATTTGCAGTTACCCAAGAAAGCTGTTCAGAAGGTTTTCCCAAGTAAGTTCTATCTAAGCTCTTTCCCAGTTGTTAAGTACTAAACAGAAAGAAAATTTCCTTAGAAATGTGAAGGTGAGAAACTGTTGTGATGACACTTCAGGATGGAATTTCTTTGGGCTCACAAGCCTGAACAAAAGAAGTTCTGAAGTCCTCTTCCTGGTCATGTATCTCAGTATACTATTAGGACTACAACATTTTGTTCACCTGCTGTTTATACAAAAGTCTGCTTAAAAGTAAAGACAAAAGCAATGACTCAAGCTAATTTTTAAAATTTTTAAAATCCAAAATTGAACTTAAAATCTTGATGTGGTCACACCAGGTGTTTCGGTATGGCCCACATAGGACACTGAAAAATTGTATGTAAGTTTCAAACACTCCAAAAGTTTTTATGCATATAGGATGTTGGATTGGGTGTTTCAGTTTGATTCTAGTTTATAATGGAGGACTAGTAAATATTTTATTATTTGCATAGTAAAATCCAGTCCATTTAATTTTTTTTAACAAAACCTGGATGTGTGCAGTGTATTACAGAAAAATAAACAGAGTAGTGTCCTGAGCCAAGGTGCTTACAAACTAAATTAGATGGATAACATATGAAAGAGGATAGCAGAACATAGCAGGGACAGAGAAGAGGGACTGGAGAGTGCATGGCAAAATGGAAAAGGATTCTGGGGACTGTGATTTACACTGGAAAATTAAAAATGGATTTTTTCCTTATTCTGCTGAAAGAGGCAATTAGTGTCCATTTCCTCTCCCTAGGTCAAGGGACTGTATTTTCAACCTTTGGCATTTTAATTTGACACACAGATTGGTTTAAGAGAGTTTTAGGACTGAAAGCAATATGTGCTGCTTGTGGTTCAGATCAAATCCAGAAGATAGGGTTTATCCTGTGCTATCCAAATTGCTCAACAGGACAAACATCATCTATGGAAAGCCCTGCTGTCTACTGGAAAGAGGGCTTAGCAGTTGGCGTCACCCTGCTGAAACCATAATTGAGGTGGGATTACACTCCTCTTTGTGCTGCCTGTCATCACAGAGCAAGTGCCTACAGAGGCAAGCTCAGAAATCAGAGCAAGGAAATGTGAAGAAAAATAAGTGCAGTTTGATGCCTCTTGTAGGTAGGCAGTACAAACACTGCACCTAGAAACCCTAGGAAATGACAGTATTTCTGTTCTGGCAATTTTTCTAAACTATATGATTTGTTGTAATGTAAAAGGTCCACCACTACCATTGGCTGTCCAAATCATACTGTGTAAATAAGCAGCTTCACTACCTGTATTCGTAGGAAAATTAAGAACAAAGAAACCTGATACACTGGCAAAGTTAATGTGGGACTGCCAGAACTTGCAATGTTTTGGAACTGGGCTCTAGTCCATTAAAGCATTCATTCTGCAAAACCAATGCTTACAGTTTGAAGCCAGATGAATTCACGAAAGCAATGACATAGCAGCCCCTATTAGCCTTTCCTTGTCTCGTTTTACACTAAATTAGATACAATCCATCTGATGTCCAGGCAGAAGTAGCTGAAAAATGTCCTTGTCCTAGTCTTTTCTGTTTCTGGCTTTTGAAGCAATGTCACACAAATAAATCAATTAATCAGTCAGAACCAGCATTGAAACACATTCAAATCCCCCCATGACCTTATGAGGGTTTTGTCTTTCCCTATAAGTATAAACTGAACCTTGCGTTATACTCTTGCCATTGGGAGAATGTAAGGAGTGAGCTATATCAAATATGATTTATATTGAATGCAACTATTTACATGCATGGCCTTGTTCCTACCATCATCACTGTTAACTTTGGTAGGACTTCAGTAATTAACGTCTCCAAGTAAACAGTAATTAAGTGATGCGATTTTTTTTCTTAATCTGAAAAAGAACAGATTTTTTTCCCCATAATAGTTGAACTGTATTCTTTGCATGTTGTCCTTTTTTCACTTATACACAAATATTTTTTTCATCCTATGGGCGGGGGGAGGGTTGGACTTTCAAAAATTGTATGTCCTCTACTAGAAGTTATTTAGAGGTCAGCTGGTTTGGTTGCTTGCTTGTTTGTTTGTTCATTTGTTTTTAAATCAAATATGAAATAACTGTTTAGAAAATCTTCTCTTTAGGAAAATGTGTATAATAAACAAATTCCCAAGACAGAATAGATGCAGGCATCAAATATTCCTGGGTTTTATATCTGATCTAGACTTCCTCCTAACCTGGGCAAATCACTTAGGAATCATGCTTTTTTCCTAGACTGCAAAGGAATTCCTTTGTCATTTTAACTCTCTTCAGACCAGTATCTTTCAGGGTATTGACAAACTTCATGGTGAAATACAAGTTCTGCCCTACACTGGTGTTCCTTATGGCTGATTCATTCACTTCTCTGCTCGCACCAAGCCTTAGCAGAAGGGACTGTGCACTGCTCTCATCCCGAAGAAGGAGACTGGCTCCTCAAATTTGCCCTCCAGGAAGAATTCTGCCTCCCTTGTAACCAGCTGTGGCAGCAGGCCATAAACGTAGAATAATGATGGTCCATGTTGTGCTGCAGCCTCCACAGACAAGGCCAGAACAGCAAGGATTTAGACATATTGATCTATCAAACATTTTATTTTCTCCAAGCTCCCAAAAAAGCATCTCAAGTTTGTAAGTCTCAGTCAAGTTTACTGAATGATAACTGAAAGCATGGTCAGTTTTGGTTTAGCTGATTTGTTCTAGGCAGCAGTCAAGCACTCCTTTAGGGAGAATAATGAGCATTTTAAGAAGGTAGACTGCATTAAACCTATCTGTTTCCCTCTATTCTATGTTTCCACAAGGACACAGTTAAACCTGCTGGAAGGAAATACACTAATGTAGAGCAACTTCATAACTTCTTGCCACTGACTATTAAGGCAAACAATAAGAGTAGGATTTAGAAAAGGATTACACCTATATTTGGAGGATAAAAATATCCTGCACTAAGATTATCCTTTCAAAGGGATAACCGCCCTGTTTTAGGGTACAAACCAACTGCTAGGACTGTATACTGAAAATGAAATTCCCACATCACTGTTCATTATGCATGTTTCGCAGCTCTGTGAAACACCCAGTCATGGCTAAAGGCAGACCAGTGTTTTGTCAGGAATCCTGGTCTGAATCAGTCTGGCACTTCTCAAGTTCCTAAATACAACAAAATTATCCATCTGATTCTGCAAAACTACAGTGTAAATAAACAATAAATAATAAATGACACGCCTATTAGAGATTAAAACCACAAATTCTTTTACAGTTCTAGCAAAAGGCCAGTTTTTATATACACCCAAACAACATTATAAAACCTGCTTTTAAGGTTGACTAGAATGCCGTTGTTGGCTAGTGATATGTCCTCCACCTGACCCTCAGTACTTACTGTGAAGAAATTTTGTAACATTACAGTTACTACCTTGATGTCCTCCACAGCTTCCATAACCATTTTGTTTGCTTACTTGACAAATGTGCAGTATTTATATTGACTGACAGTCAGGAAGTTGTGCTTCCCAATGAGTTTTTTCCTACAGAATTAATACCAAACTAAGATACCTACAGCACAGTTGGTCTGTGGGTATACTGGCACCCAGTGGTTCAGAGCCTCAGGTGCAAGCATCCTGTTGACTCAGGAAAGCTGTAGTCCATTGTCCATCCACTGGAAAACGTCCAACCTCTTAACTTCAGGTTTCTTTGTGTATTTGGTGATGTTTTGAACCACGTTACATCAAAAAAAATGTGTTGTCATATCACTTGGAAGAGAAATAATGAAACGCTGGCTTTGTCTGTTCATTTTTCTTACCTTCATTATGAGCTTTTTATAGAAAGAAGGCTGAACAGAAAAACATGCAAGGCAATAATGCTATGTATTATGCAATTGAATGCAATTGAAATAGTTCCGAGAATTCTCAAAGGACAATTGCTACAGTGGGGACTGCAGAAGTGGGACTTTTATTCTCCCCTGCCAACCAAGTACTCATACCGTGCGGTGACAACAGAAGACAGAGACTAAACAAGGCTAATCTGCTGGAAAACCTGAATAAAGAAAAGCTTTGGGAATTGTCTGGTTTCCTGATTATCCTGCTGACCTGATTTCCTCAAGCACTATCTTTTTCTCCGTGTCCTCCCTTTTGATGTACAATTCCCATAGAAGATCTAGAGCTGAACTTAATACAGGCACATGTTTTCATCCTCTATTAAGGAAGTTGTATGTATGCAACTTAGTGACGAATTTGAAGTGCTTAGGTGTGATCTAATCCCTTGTTGATCAACTAGTACCTTTCTTTGACTTAAAGAAGCCTTGAATCAGATCTGCATTTCTAATAAAAACCAGTGAAATTACTTTTTTTAATAGTTGACTTTTTCCTCTTAGAGAACAGACACAGTTGGACCCTGTGGTAAAACTCCCAGGCCTACAGGAAGTCCACACTAAAATTTGAGTTTATTTCTCTTTACCACAGAACTTTTTTTCCCCCATATATTTAATATTATTTATGTCCTATCACCACTCTAGTATAAATATTATTCCTTTGTTTTATTCACACTTGACATTTTTATTGACTCTGAACTTGTTTCATTCCTGAATAAGTAATTTTAAAGTCTTCTACTGTCCCTTAAATAACCTTTCCTCTCTTGTGATTTCTCTGTGTATTTGTATTTATCTTTTAAATTTTTCCTTGTCCTTAGTCCTCCACAAATTTAATTCAAATTAAAGCCATTTTAATCTGTTCTTTGTAGACAAAACAAGCTCCTTTAGTTGCTTCATTTCTGTTACCTTGATCCAGTTCTGATTAAATGGATAGCTACAGGGAAAAACATCAGAAATCACCATTCCATTAATAATCATCATTAACCCTCTGTAGAACAGCAGTTAAAAAATGTTCTGGTCACAGGTCCCCCCACCCCCAACAAAAGAACACCCAACCTCATTGATTTAAAACAGTTTTATCTCAGACTCTCCCTCTCCACTTGCTATTAGTATGGGATATTTTTTTGTTGTTTGACTGGCAGTATGCTAAGCACAGCAATTTCTACCTAGGCAAGATGCCTGTTGATGTCGATGATGTGAAGCCAACTTACACTTGCTGCAGGAACCTGAACATTCATTTAGTCAGTGTATCAACCTCAACATTTTGCTTCAATTACAGTAACAGCCAGAGCCATTTTCTCTCTCTAAGATCAGAGTATTTGTCCAGCATTTCACTGCTGCTAATGTAGAAACCCATGGAGCGTGCTCTCATTGTTGAGGATTGCTGTGGACAGATCTTCAGCACACAAGCAACGACAACCTCTTCCAGAATTCCAGGTGCTTCTGGGGTTCACCTCCTGCTACTGGCAGATTAGTTTTAAATACACACTCTCTCTAATAACTTCAGCCCAGTCTCACAGATGTATTCAGAAGTAATGTCTGCCTCTATTGTCCAAAACCACCCATTTTCTTTGATAACTGGAGTGTTGTCAACGGCATTTCTAGGTTGCATTCTAACAGTGAATGTCAACTACTAACAACTGTAGCATAAAATGGTGAACTTCATATTTACCTCTGTGTGCTTTTCTCCATTCCTAGCAGCAACCTTCTTTTTCTGGGAAGGAATGTCTCTGTATGACAGCTGTACCACCACCTGCCAGTACTTGTGATTGGAAAGAACATAACCAGCCTCATAGCACTATCTAAGCTTGGTACAGGCACAGACCTTGGTGTAGGCAACTCCCTTGTCCTGGATCCTAGGCCACAGCCAAGCTGACAGTATTCACAGCAGGCAGGCTACAAACGACTCAAAATATTTCCTATGCTTTTCTCAACCCTGGTGTGACTCTTGTAGCTCAGCAGCTGAGGAATGCCATGGCTGCAGCTTGCAGTCTTGAGCTATGAGCAGTGGTGGTGGCATGCCATTCCAGAGTGAGTGCCACCCTTGATGAGAAAAGCCTAGCTATGAAGAAGAGACAGGACCTGTCCAAGCAGATGAATGAGGACAGGGCTTGGTGTCTTTTGTGACTCCATTAGCTGGTTGGAGCTGATGCCAAGACACATTTAGGACAGTGTCAGTTGCACAGAGGTGAGTGTTTAAGTCTCCTTGCTTGACCTTATATCAAAAGGCAGCAGAACAGTGATGGTTTGGACAGCTGTTCCTCTCTCCTCAGTTTCTATCAGATCATCCTGCTTCCTGGGCGCAGCCTTATTGTTTACTTCATTACTAATCTGGGGTCACTTGGCCTAAAATACGTTTGTGTCTCCTGACACTTAAATGTTTTAAAATTATTATTGAAAATGCTGTAGTCTTCAGATGTCGCTACTGATTTTTGCTATTAGTCGATTAAGACACAAATGCTTTCATCAAGTGCTTTATCATACACTTCACAGAGAGCAAAATACCTTCACTTAGTCCAGAGCAAAAATAACCAGTATGGAAACCAGGCATAAGGTATAAAGGATTTGTGGTTTAGTTTTCTGATCTTTAATTTTTTTTTGTAACCAAGTCTTGAGGGCAGCTTGCAATTCAGTGTTGTTCAGTGGGAGAAATGAAATAGCTGTACTACTAGACATAAAAGCACGTTTATCCATAAAAGAATGTTTCTACTTAGAGAAGTCTAGCCAGTGATGTCAGAGGACAACAGAAATCATACTTCACAGGTACAGAAACCCTCCTGAAATGAAAACTACAGAAAACTTACTTGTTAAGTACTGCATTACTTGATGTTGGATGCAATTAAAAGGGTCCCTTCCTGTCTCTCTTCTCCTCCATATCCTTATCTTTCTTTTGGGAGAGAATAGATTGATTTTCTTCACCAAAATTCTAAATGATCAGTAAACATATAAACCATCCTTTGACCTTTGCACTGCTGATGGCATATTTATCCCCTGAAGACGATCAACAGCAAATGTAATTTGAAAGCAATTGGCTTATTTCAATTTTTTTTGCTTGCTGTCTTTTTGCATTCTTGACCGTTTCCTCTTCTAGGAAAACACATGCCAGCTTATTCAGTAAAGTCTGAAAACATACCTATGGCCTCTTGTTTACCCCACAGAAGATGACAGTTCAAGAAGTTCCTGGTGCCTTTCCTACAGTGGATGTCCCAGACCATGCCCATTATACAATTGGAATAGTCATTCTTATAGTGGGGATCACAGGAACTCTGGGTAATTTCCTGGTCATCTATGCTTTCTGCAGGTATCTTTCTTTTGGATTTTTTTTTTTTTTTTTAATGCTCAGATTTATGAACTTTAACAGTATTTTGACTGTGCTCTGCAAATGCAGCATAGGCATCTATCAGACTGCTACACAGACATAGTAAAATGCAGCAAGAGATATTGCTGTAGGAAAAAAGTCGCAACCTGCCATTTCTCTCTGACTTCCTCCCATTAACTGCAGCCATAGCAAAATTGTTAGCAAAATTGCAAAGAATCACCCAGATATGCCAAGCAATCAAAAACCAGCCAAAGCAGAAAACTTTTAGTGATTTTTTTTTTTTTTTTCTACTGGCTGAACTGTGTCTGCACTGAACTGACGGGATGTTTTGCACCTATGTCTCCCACATACCTTCTCTGGTTTAGATGTTTCCTTCCTCCTGCTGCTTCCTACATAGTTTCTTTTCCCCCTCTGTTCCTTACTGGCCATGTCTCTTGCTTTCACATTTCCTAACACTTGCCTTATTTCCTTTTAAAGCCACATTCCAACTTTTATATCTGAGGAAACTGGACCTCTGACAACAATGTGATATTTTCACCATTCCTGTTCACTCATCCCGTTTCTGTTTTGTCACAGTGGGGCAGAGCATTGGCATGATGTCCAGGCCAGTGAGCTTCTCCTTCATGATTGCTCTTTAGGCACTACTGTAATATACCAAAATAACAGAGATTGTATGATAATTTGGCTGTGTTCACTTAAATCAGCGTGGACAGAATTAGTCTGGGTCTTGAGCCTATATTCATGTGGTGCACTAAACGGTAGGTTTCAGTATGGGCATTCACAGTAGATACCAACACCTATGTGTGAATGGCATGGTCTTAAGAACAGAAAAGGTGTTGGCCTGCAGACCAGATACGTGAGGATGAAGTACACAAGCTGGGTTAGCTCTTTGGCTGGTCCCATACAGGAAATGCAGCCATGGCAGTTGCAGTTCCACTGGAAGACACAGCTTGTCTTCATTTGAAGATGTTATGAAGGCAGACAGGGATACTGATAGCAAAGAAACAAGTACATCAGAAGTTCAGGGAATGCATCAGCTGCCTACAAAGCAGCCTCAAGTAATGGCAAACTGTAAGACAGCCAGCTGCCTGAAACAGAAATACGTTCAGTAACTCTGCAGACTACTGAAAAAATACAAGTGGCCCACAAGCATCTACTAATATCTCCTTGCTCCTAAATTGACAGATAGGGGACAGTAGTCCTAGCAATTGATTCTGGATCAGTGTAAAGAACCCCTCACTTATTCTGGTATTTTTTTAGTTGTGTCTAAGACTGAAAATTTGCAAAACGAGCTAAAAAGTTACACTAAACCCAAACTGAGGAGCTCTCAGTTGAGCTTTTATGTGTACCCTTTAAAAGACTGTATTATAATACTATGAATAACATATACAAGCAGGATAGACTGAAGGCTGGCTCTCTTTAAAGTCAGGGTCTGGGCCAGTGAAATGAGGGTCATAGAGTAGAACTGATGTGAGTTTGCTTAATCCCTGTATTTGGAAGTCACTCTTGATGTTATCAGCGCTCCCCTCCCCCTGCTTAACATGACCCAGATCCAGAAATCCACAGAAGTATATCAACTTTAATTTCCTGTTAATCATGGATATGCAGTGCATTGGGTCAGAATACTTAAAGAACAATATGATTTATCCCTATCACTGAGCTGGTTATCCTCCAAAGTGCACAGGAGTATAAAGGTGTAAAACTGAGCCTTGCTTATGTTCTCTCATGAGGGAAAAGAGAAGCACTCTGCTCTAGCTTGCTATGTAGTGTGTCTTGGTATTTGTGAAGCTGCCAAGGCTCACAGGAAAGAGTAACAATGTAATTAACAGTGCAGCAGTGTTTAGCAACGTTCCTTCTGATCTCTGTAGGAGTAGGAGCCTTCAGACTCCAGCCAACATATTCATCATCAATCTAGCTATTAGTGACTTCCTGATGTCCATTACGCAGTCTCCAGTCTTTTTCACCAACAGCCTCCACAAACGCTGGATTTTTGGTGAGAAAGGTTTGTATATATTCTTTCTAAGATATCACTAAGTATGTCCTACCACAGTGGCAGTTAATCTATTTCCTTGTCCCCAGGTATCTTGCAGTGTTGAGACATTTCTCAACATTGTTTCAATGTTGACACAAATGTTTCTTTGAACATTTTTGTCTGTGTGCAATGAACACATTCCCACCACGGAGAGGAAAATTACACACATGGGATGGATACAAAGGCGACATTGGCAACGTAATGCACAGGACTAGTCTTGCCAGCACTCTTCCCAAATCATCCCATAACTTAGCTACGGGCAGAGTCCTACAACAAAGCAGCACCACCCCTCAACACACCAGCTTAAAAGCTCTTCTAAATAGCGTGCTCTGGGACTTGCACCTGCCAAAGTGGTGCAAGAAAGCCTGGCAAAAGTGAGTTTTCACAACAGAAATATTAACTGAACATTTCCTGTGCAGTAAGAAAACGTAGGATGAAGGTGCTTTCATTCTTCCTATATGACTGTAGTAAGAGTCTTTGCCTCTTGAACGGGTATTGACAGAGAGGAATGTCAGAGAAGTAATGTTGATGTTTTGATCTCTGATGACCAAAAGCACATTTTTTTTAGTTCCATGAAGTGTTAATTGCATGCATGTTAAAATAATAAACCAAACCAAATGCCTGCTTTTAATCATTAGGTTGTTTGAATAATTAAAACCAGCCATTAATATATTTGTAGTCTTCTTATTTACTTCAGTTATGCTGACCTTGAGATATAAATGGTTACATGATACCACAGTAGCTATAACCCATTGTTAAGCAAAACAGCTGTTTCTACAGGAGCTGCAGTAAAACTGGAGTTAAACAATATATTAATAGACTGCTGAAATTATTCCACTAGAAACATCAGAAATCAATGAGTGAAAATATGTAAAGTACCAGTGTCTCCAGCAATTCAAGCACACAAAATCTTTGAGTTTATCTCCATGGATAATGCAATTAGCAAGACAGAGAGCAGTCGTGAAATAGCATTACAACTGCAGGAAAATTGAAGTTCCATTGCTTTACAAATTCCAGAAGACATTAGTCCACAAGAAACACAGACTTGAACTCTCCCAGAAAGTAATTAGCATGAGTAGATTAATTTCACTGCTACTTCTGTCATCTTCATTGAAAGGCTGTGAGCTGTATGCCTTCTGTGGAGCTCTTTTTGGCATTACATCTATGATCACTTTGATGGTGATTGCCTTGGACAGATATTTTGCCATCACAAAACCTCTGGCTTCTGTTGGAGTGACGTCTAAGAAGAAAGCCCTAATAATCCTGGTAGGAGTCTGGCTGTACTCTTTGGCTTGGAGCCTCCCGCCCTTCTTTGGATGGAGTAAGTGAAATGGAATAGAAGTTTTTTTCCCTCATAGCATTGGATTAAAGATCGCTTACAGGTATAGAAGAGGGTTGAATTAATGGTTTGCATATTAGGCTTGAATAAATCAGTTTGAAGAAAACTGATAAAATCCATATTGAAACTGAAGATCTCTACTCAAAAGAAAAAATCCAGCATGTAGCACAGCATATTATGTGACAATGGCATTTTTCCTTAAGATCATTCCTTACTGAATAAAAACCAGTAGACAAAATCAAGGCCAAAATGTATGCAGGATGTGCCTGCCTCTTATCCCATACCTACTTCATGGAACCAAATTCAACAATATAAAAGTTAAATAAATGTATTTGCGGGTTTTCTGATTACTTTTTTCCTCCCCTAAGGCGCTGTGTAAGATAGTAGTGTTAAGATAAATTTCTTTATTCGCATAAAAGAGGAATACAGTCTGAGTATTTTGTGCAAGTACATCTTCAGTAAGTCTTGACTGTGTTCCAAATGGGCAAATTGCACTAGGTGTTGGTCACATTCTCCATTCAGCCCCTGGTATCTTCACTAAGGCTTCCAATAAGGATGACATTTAGTAATAACTAACTAATTTGCTTTTGCAAATGTGAATTTTACACCTGCAAACTGGAACACAGATACAGCATCTTGATCCCTGCAACTTGTAACAAAGAGAGTTTCTGTTATTCCTTTTCATTTGAATCCACCTCACTACCATTAATTTGTTTCCTATGAGTCACCAGTTTCAGTCAGTAAATTAAAATGAACTCATCATTCAAAACCCCAGCCCATTATTGTGCTCCCTAATTCCAGAAGAGAATGGGTCAGCTCAGCTGAAGTGAGAACATAGCGATGTTCGATTTTCCCAAAGGATGCTGCAACCAACTCATAGTTACTGAGTAGAATTTCAGCAGATTCTTGTTATTGTCATTCTGGTCCCCCATAAACATGAAGCATGTTTAAGCAGGCAAACTGCAGTACTGGGAGAAGCAGCCTTCAGTTGAACAAGGAGCTGTTAGAGCAACAAAATGACAATATAGTCTTAGATTCTAGATTCTTAATTGGAGAAGGTGGAGTAATTACTTGAAGAGTGTTGTATCTTGTAATTACATTCTAATAGTACCCACAGTACTAACTCTCATATGGTAATTAGATGCATCTGAGCACATCTGGGGCAATAATTTTGAGAGTTCAACAGAAAATATCACTGTAAACAGTGATAATTAAAATAGAAACATAAAAAGACATTGCTGTTGATAATTACTTAACAGTTTGACACAGTTCGTTTAAGGAGATTATATTTTATTTCAGGCAGAATATTACATATGTATGATTTTTCTTCACTTGTACTCAACTTTACTTCAGGACAAAATTAATTTGCTCTGCACAGGAAGTCTTTCTCCCTTGCACAGTAAATGTCTCTTACCTGCACCAGTTTAAGAAAGTGGTAGCTATAGCAATCAGTTGCATTTCACTCCTTGGGAAGACAGCAATTTGGCACAGAATGGAGATATTTAAAAACAATACAGGTCTGATCCAAGACTCACCAAAGTATTTGGAGAGATACACTTTGACTATGTTAAGCTTTAAACAATATTCAAGAACCAAAACAAAATAATATTCAGTTTTAGGATCTGAAGCCTTAGACTGCTAAACATAAATACAATAGGGCAACAGAGTAAAAGGAAATAAAAAGAGGTACTTTAAATGAAGAATCATGTATCCTTTAAAACTTTTTTTCCCTTTAAGAGGATAGGACTAAATCCCATGTTATTCTGAGTATCTTTCTCTAACTTCTGCGCTCAGAATAAGAATCACTTCATGGTTTATGCCTTCTCCTATCTTTCCTTCTAGGTGCCTATGTTCCTGAGGGGCTGCTGACTTCCTGTTCCTGGGATTACATGACTTTCACACCATCGGTCCGCGCCTACACCATGCTGCTTTTCTGCTTCGTCTTTTTAATTCCTTTGATTGCTATCATATACAGCTATGTCTTTATATTTGAGGCTATTAAGAAGGCCAATAGGTAAGTAGCCAATAGTCTTGAGTTTTTATCCTTCTGTATAAGTGACTGCTTATTTTCTTAAAACAAAGAAAATCAGGAAGTTTTTCACTTTTAATTTGTATGCATGACTGAAACAGGAAACCAAACAAGAATTCTGTCAATAGTCGACACGGTAAGAAGCATGATCCTTACAAGGGCCATTCCTGATTTTAAGCCAGAGCTGTTCAGTATATTGTCTAATGATGCAGAAAAGGGTACAAGTAGCAGGAATAGAAATCTGAAGGATGAGAAAGGACTGCAGAAATTAACCAAAAGAAATACTAAAGGGACACAAGAGACACCTAACAATAGTGTAGCAACAACTATTCCACGCAAAAAATAGATGGAATTGAACTACAAATTCCATGTTTGATAAAGGATGAAAAAGAGGTAAAACATTTGTAATCTGTAGATATCTGTCCCATAGGTATCAGCATATTCAGCATATCTAGTCACATGGTGCAGAAGTACAGAGTGAGAGTAAGGTAGCAAAATAGGACCTAGGGATGCAAAGACTTCTCTAAATATATTTAATACAGCTTTGTTCAATTGGTTTGAATACCTGATTTTTGTGGAAATTCTTCTGGTACAGGACTATTTTCGTCACTGTGAAGAAATGTGAAATTTTGACATTGATTAATGCAACAAAAGTGCATTGAATTGTGAAGGACTGGTCACATACATAGAATCACGGAATCACAGAATGTATTGGGCTGGAAGGGACCTGTAGTCCATCCTCAAGGTCACCTAGTCCAACCCCTCTACAATAAGCAGGGACATCTCTAACCAGGTCAGGTTGCTCAGAGCCCCATCAAGCCTGACACTGAATGTCTCCAGTTATGGGGCTTCCACTACCTCTCTGGGCAACCTGTTCCAGTGATCCACCACCTTCATATTAAAGAACTTTTTCCTAATGTCCAACCTAAATCTACCATTTTCTAGCTTAAAACCATTACTCCTCGTCCTATCACTACAAACCCTTGTGAATAGTTCTTCCCCTGCTTTCTTATAGGCCCTTTTCAGGTATTCGAAGGTCGCCCCAGAGCCTTCTCTTCTCCAGGCTGAACAACTCCATCTCTCTCAGCCTGTGAGAGACATATGTTAACACACATTAAAAGTACATGACTTTTAGCATAAACTAGCATTAAGAGTATTTGTTGCCCCATTTTAATGAAGCTATTTACTCAATTCCCTACGTCTTTTTTTTGCTGTTGTATGTTTATTTCCCCTAGGTCTATTCAGACATTTGGATGCAAACATGGAAATAAAGAGTTCCAGAAACAGTATCAGAGGATGAAAAATGAGTGGAAGATGGCGAAAATTGCACTGATTGTCATCTTGCTTTATGTCATTTCCTGGTCACCATACTCTGTTGTTGCTCTGGTAGCTTTTGCTGGGTAATTATGAAAGTATCAGCAAAGGAATATTCAGTGAAAGCAAAAGGTGTGAAATTGTAAAAGACAGATGAAAGTCAAAGCTACTTGTCAAGTTTAGTGCCTGAAGTGCATCCAAACCATTCACATATTTAGGAGTGACATGTTACAAATGAGGCATATGCTGACTGTGATTTTTTCTTAGTCTGACTTTTAAAAAACCTGAAAGTAAAACAAAAAAAAGAAAATAAAAAGAAAACAGGAAGATTATTACTGGCAACATAACATTACTGTGCTGATGATTTCTGAATGCAGGTTCTTTATGCTAGGATATTTGATTTATCTGAACTTTATTTAGCACCTAAATGCTAAATAAGGAGCCCAAAAAGATCCACCCAGGGGCTGATTCTCTTTTCTTTCTCCGTTCCTTTTACTTTTAAAAAAAGTCTGTCAATTTTCTTGTGTAACATCAAACTGTTGAAATTTCATACATATATATGCAAGTTCAAAATTTTTGATGCTGGATATAAAAGATAGTATATATAAACTATCTAAGCATGTTCTTAATTTATTTAGTTGTCAGGCTTTTATACGGTAATTTCAACAAAAGCATGATACTATTAACACAGTATCTGTATATAGCTTGACATCAGACTATAATTGACACAATCCAGGTACAAGTAACAGATTGGGAGTCTGGATGCCTTGGCTCTATGTGGATATTTCTCCAATGTTAACACGTGAATTTTCCTGTGCTTCAGTTTAGCCTTGGTAAAATGGGTGTGACTACCTGCTCTAGAAATCAAGTGGAAGACTCCTATGACAGTACAAAACACTTTTATTTGTATTTTTCAAGCCAGAAATAAAAAGTAGGTTTTCCTAAAATTGACACAGGATAAAATAAATTTACTTATGATGAAGCATTTTGGGAGGCAGTGGTGATTTTTGTTACACACAGAAGGAAGAGGCCACAACAGGGCCTATTCTCATACATAGCTTAGGAAGGTAGATTCTTAAACACAGCACTTCTAAAATCTTATCCTTACGAAGAAATAATGCTAAGAGAAGAGGATTCTCTCCCTTAGTATCCAGAGGGCAATTCCAAGCAGCAGCAAACATTTTCTCCCTGAAGGTAAACATGTTCCTCACTCAGAAATGAGAATCAGGATGTGTCCCAGTGTCCCATTTCCTGTCACAGGGGGACTTAAATACTGGGCACCACCACTGGGGATACGTGACCAGCTAGAGACAGAGGAAGAGCAAGAAGACAAAGAAATGCAGCACCGCTACCTTGCAGCACTACTTGCTCTAAGATACCACCACCAAAAAAAAAAAAAAAAAAAAAAAAAATTAGGAAATGCTTTAAGTTAACCATTTTAGCACGTAGAACTGTCAGGCTATCCCATATGACCAGCATCTATCTTAGGATGATCGAGTGCCTG